TCAGCTTTTCGTGTATTTTCCTTATTTTGACGTTGAGGCATCACTAGTCTTTTGAAGTTGAGTCTAGACTGGTGAGTTTTTGAAGATGCAGGTCACTTGTAAAAATGGTCTGCACCTCCTTTGATTTTGGAAATGCAAATGTCACTATTCGAGAAATTCTTTTTAAGAAAATAATCTGGATGTGGGCCACGACCGGTGAAGTAATATTTTAAGAAAGATTTGGAGCTTCTGATTTCTGTGTTGTTTCTTGTTGAAAAACTGACAGATTCGCTGGCTTGTTGTGGAGTTGCTCTACTCTTCTTGTCATTTGTGGCTTAGATGTTTGTTTAGGAGTTGTCGTAGCTGCAGTTTAGGAAGCTTAACGTTGAAGAATTTGTCTTCTTAGGAAAGAGCTGCCTGCTTCTTTTGCAGGATTGTCGACAGTGTCATTGCCGACGCAGTGCGCTGTGTCCTTTGATCCAAGTTATGGTTATTTTAGTATTAGAAATCTTTAGAGATAGGATCAATTTCACGAGTCAGGGAAGAAAGGTTTTCTGGATTTCGAATGGAGAGTTATTTGGCTATTTCGTCATAGCTATTTGGCTGTCCGAGTTAATGAATATTTTGGACAAGTTGTTTATTAACGCAATGCTGATGGCAACTTTTATGGCTGAGAATTTCGCTTGATGTATGCTATTGAAGTAATTTGCATAGGCTGATTCCCCATACCAAAAAAAAATCTGTAAAATAACATCGACCCAAGAAAAAAAGGGAGTTGAATCCTAAGAGAACGGATTGCTTCAGAAAACACTTTATAAGAGAAAATGGCTCGTGTTTACTTTCATATGGGTAAGAAGAAACACCCATGTAGCCAGCTCGTTCACCTGGATTCAAATCTGGCATGAACTACCAGTATTTAACAGTGTTTATTCGCTTAGCTATTGATGGGGAGCATCTTATTAAAACATTCCACAAATAGTGAATTGGATTTGTATACATAATAGGAACTTACATTAAAAAAACATATATGATGATCTGTTCCGCGTTTAAAAAAAATTAATTAAATAAGTTAAGTTTGATCTCCGTACATTGGCTCTCCCGTTCTAGATGAGTGACCCTAAGCTATTTTGTTTATATAAATAAATTCTACTAAATTAACAAATTCATTTAAAATACAGTGGCGATAACGCCCCACCAGTGATCGATTGGTTAAGTCTCTTGAAACTGGGAATTCGACCCGTGTTCAATCCTAGAAGAACGAGCTGGCTGCATGGTTGGTTTTCATAAATTTTCGCCAATGTTACTGTAATTACAAAATTTGCTCTTGGACCACATCTCTGACTGTTAGTCTGCTCAAAAGCAACTACTCCCTTTGCGTCTTCGGTTCTTCTAGTTGTGGGAGTGAATCAGTGTTGCGAAGAGCCTAACCTTGTATGACCTTGGTTTTCCCCATGTGTAACATAAATACCAGCCAGTTTCCTTTAGAAAGTCATCCTTCTCTTTAGACAGAGCGCTCTCGTGTGCTTTGCCATATTTAGATAATATATACTATAACTTCATGGAGATTAACCTCTGAAACTGACGAATACTTTTAAGATCATAAAAAACATCATTATTGGTGATTACAGTATTCTATTTTTGAGGTTGGGTGGTCTTCTGAACTCTGAACAGATCGTGAAATATTTCATTTATTCACGACCGCAAAAACTTATTTTTGGTGTCAAGCTAAAATCTTTCAAGTTCCGTATGACAGAATAAATGAATAAAAAATGGATATATAAATGCAACAAAAATAATAACTAATACATGGATGTATACTTATAGGAATAATAAATGGCTCTAACAGGTACAGGTAAAAGTACGGGCGACACCAGAGATGTACTATGGATCAATTGGTAATGCCTTTCCATACTAACTAATAAAAAAAAAAATTCAAAATTTATAAGATTTTACAAAGAATAATTGAGAAAAAGAGCAACTGAACTTTTCCAAAGGATTTAGAATTACTTTTTATGGTATATCGTGCAATCTAATCGTACACTTCGCCTCCAGTATTTACTAAAACTAAATATTTAGGACATAAAGAGATAACAATATAATTTCAATTTGAAATTCGCAAATTAAATGGAGAACATCTGTTTTTATGTAATAAAAATAATAGATAAACATAACAACTAACATACAAACATAACGAGATAAATATAATAAGTACTGGGAACACAATGTTTATAATTAACTGTACTAATAATACTAAAGTAATGTCCACCACGTTTGAAAATAATATCAAAAAACACCGTTGAGTTAGAATCTGAGGCATCGGAGATTTGAGAATACAAAGTTAATTTTGGCAAAAAACCAACACAATTTTAGAAAAGTTACATAAAACGGTATGGTGGAATAGTTTATAAAGTTCGCAAGTCGAATCCTTTTGAACATATCCACAGGATGTGAAAGTTCATTATGCAGCAGGGGAAGCTTATGACCGCATAAAGATAATGATTTAGGCCCTAGGAAGAAAATCGTTGCATAATGTTTTTAAACTTAGGATATTCGTGTTTATCTTTCATTAAAAACTGTTGTCAGGAGATTAGTTTGTAGGGACTTTATGCGATTATTCTTAGTTAAGGGGCCTGAGAAGGTGTAATTATCAGGAGTTCCCTGCTCCCCGCATATACAGATGTCTATGCAAGAGCTTGCCAAATTTCTTGTATAGAAATGCGGGGAAGGATCTTTGTTCTGTTATATAGTAATCTGATGAAGGATTCGCGTACAGAGATGCGAAGCTTACATTGGGAATCAAATTAAATGTTCGTCTTCCCTGTGAAGCATTATTCCATAAATCTTGCCAAAATTTTGAATGACATTGTTTTAGTTGGTATTTGAAATTTAAACGAGGCCTTGAAAGTAGTATAATTTCAGTACCATCTTGATTAAGAGCTGCTTCTTTGGCTAATTCATCTGCCTGGCCGTTACCAAAATGGCCACTACGTCGTTTGATAAAACATTTTTTACCTCTTTATTTTCATTTCTAAATCATAAATTTTATCTTATCCAAACGTGACTTAATTTATTTTATAGCCTCTTTTATGATATAATGCGTTTGAAACGATTCATTGCATTCTTTGTCTACACTAATTTTCCCATTTCCTGTTTATGCAGTTGGCAGTGTGTAACAATCAATATTCAAGTGTAATTCATTTCTTTCATTACAGCTTTATTACAGCTTTATTTCATCTTTATACTTCAGTGTTTATTTCAGTGTTCACAGCTCAAGCATGTATTTTTGCGTTTTTATATTTTAAATTTCGTAAATTTTGAGTAATTAATCTGAGATTAAGAATGTCTACAAAAACTAAAGGCATTAAATTTAGGAAGACAATTAAAAATTATTGAAATTGATACTGTTGGTTGTCTGTTAAAAATTAAGTTGGTAGATGAATACGATAGATGGTTGTAATTAATAAAATGAATGATTTAACCGTAAGGTATTCACTTCTTTCATACTGCGTCCTTTCATGATGTAATGGGAAGTACGTCCGGCTACCATTCAGAAGGTCCATGTTTTCAATACTAGTTAGGAAATTGCTGACTTTTCGTGTTTCCTGTTGTAAAATAAACCTGATAATTTAATACTCTTAAGAAATTTAAACTGTTTAGAAAATCATGGTACTAACAAAAAGCGAAGAAAGATTCAGTAGGCAGACTTCACTAGATGAGCATTTTAATAAATATGACTGAGTGTCTCTGAAATTCCTGAACAAAATTATGTAAAATTTCTGTAGCTTTCGTGTTTTAAATATTAATCGCATTAATTAGCAAAGTTTTTCAGAAAATTAAGTTTAGGGTAAATTTTTTCCTGTACATTATTCGATGCTTAGCTTCGCGATCAATGTATAATTTTTTAGTATAACGATATTCAGGAACTATTAAAAGAAACAACTTAAATCATAAAAGACAAATTATACTTTAGTTGTACTGAAACTTTGTTTCATTCAAGTCTAAAGGTAACTGGTAGGTTAAGAATAAAAAAGTAAATGGTTATTACAGGTTAATAAGAAATTAAGAAATATGAGTAGGCATGTTCACCTAAAACTAAAATGAAATAAGAATACAATTAAAACTTTTATGTAACACAGGAATAAATAACAATAATACAAATGTATGCATCGCACCGAAAAACGTATGAGTCACAGGAGAAAATTCTTTACGAACAAATTCCAGTATGTTTGAATAGAATGAATCTATTGAGCAAATCGACAATCGACATCATTGCCTGTCAATTTCTCTAAAACAACTACATCCACAGAAGACCAGTATTCTTTGGAGCCTTAAGAGGTCATTCTAGAGAGAGTTCGCTGTAGTTTTCATATCTTGAATAGCAATTCCTCTGCAGTTTTATTTCTTATTTATTTGATTCATTATCTCCAATGAAGTGCAGATGTGCTGAAAGTTGCTAGTATATTCTACAAATTACTAGGTTATTCTTCATAGAAACGGAAAACTTTTTGGCCTTTTGTAAAGATCAAAACGCCTTCTTTCGTTTTCAGTTTATTGCTTTTAGAGTAAATTGATAATTATAAGCAGAACAATTTGAAAACCAGAAAAGAATGCGTGTTTCCCTGAAAAAGAGAGAGAAAGGTTGCGTTTAAGTATATTTCACAAAAATTAAAAAATTGCATATAATTTATGGACAACATATTGTCCTGAATATAGAGCAAGATCAATGAGCAACGAGAATTGTTTTACTGATAAACCTTGATCAGTCAAGAAAAGCTACCGTTAATTAAATTTTCGGGAGTCAAAATCTGTAAGTAGATTTTCCAAGAGGCCAAGTTCAGCGCACCTAACCCTACACTATGTTAGGTCAATTATATTTCCGAATTTGTTAATTTGTTTATAATACAATTCCAATCCATTTTTATCTCTAAATTCTTCTGATATACTTATATATAAGCGACATCAGAGCTCACAATTACTTACATTTTAAAAGTCATAAAATATTATTATTATTATCCATGTAGTTTACTTTCAGTTAAAGGCCAGCCATCCATGCCTACATTTGCGGGACCAGTGTCCAGTCTAACAGTGGCCAAAGGACGAGACGCAACGCTGAAATGTGTCGTCGACAATCTTGGCAGTTACAGGGTAATATACCATTAGCCTTACTTTCCTGCTTGAAGCTGTTGATTTTTTTATGTCTAATTATAATTTTCTGTAATCCTTCTTGATTTCCATGTGAAATAAAACTTCAGATATTTTTCATTTAATGGCGTAACTCAGTTCTGAAGCTTAAACCTTTAACAAAATTACCCTTAAGAGCAGGTACTTTCGAAGTGATGTAAAAGACATTTGCTTGAGTTGAGGTTCTAAATAAAATATATTTCTGATAGTATATTTCAAGTTACCGATGAAATTAATCATATAATGTTGAATAGGGAACTATTCAACATTATTTTCTACTAATAACATTATTTTCTACTAATAATTCAACATTATTTTCTACTAATAATAATTAATTATGCTACTGTAAAGATAAAAGAACTATCTGACATTAGAGGATTTAATTTTCACTTTGCTGGATTCAAACTAGGGCTGTTTCCAATAATCTAAACATGAAAACAAGAACTTAAAAGTGAAATTTGTTTTCTAATTGTTCATTGTATCTGTCACGATCTCAACGTTCTTTCGCTTTGATTTGATTAAACAATTCCTTCAACATAAAGAACGCCATCTTGGTTATCAAGCCGCCAGTAATTTACTGCTGGCTTGAGATCATCATCGGCAGGAAACAGTTGTCCGCGCACAAATTTTGAAATAGGAAACAGTCACTAGCGCAGTTTGGACTCTACTGAGGTTGATTAAGCTCTTCAAAATCACATTCTTGAACCTTCTCCGTACGATATTTGTGCGCATGCTCATCATATGTTTATCACGAAGAAACGTATCAGATAGAAGTTTGCTTTTTTAATGACATTCTGCAGTGAGTTCATGCCGTTAGCGCAGTACTTTCTAGTAATGATAAACCTAGCTGACATGAATTCAGTAAGTCAACAAGCAAAGCACCATCCGTGTCTCAAAAAATTTATTATCCTTTCAGCTTATTGTTGCAAAAAAAAAATTCTTGAGTATTAAGGATCCTTTAGGTTTCCATTCCATAGTCACTCTTGTTTAATGTTTGGATCATAGTAAAGAACATATGTCTCCTTACTAATCATAATCCAAGTGAAAAAAGCACCTGAATTTGACATAAAATGCTCTAGATTCTCTTCACAGACATGGAAGCGAAACAGCATCTGATTTTCTTCTCGTCAACATTTTGGGTAGTCACAGATAACTCACCTTCGAAACTATCAACTACTCGTATATGACTAAAGAAGTTATACAAAGTGTAATGCTTAGTTCATGTTACACATTCACACGATGATCTTTCGTTATCATGCCGTCCAATGTTTCGCATATTTCTATTGAAGAAATCTCCACTGGATAGCTTGCGCGAATATCATCTTCAGTGAACTATCTGTCGCCCTTAAATTGCTCAGTTTAGAACTTTTCTTAGTAATATTAGTAATACGAAAGTATGATAACCACATCGGGTAAACATCCTTTGACAGATTTTTCTTTGGCTTCTTCTCTCCCTTTACAAGAAATTTTAGCACTGAATACATTGCCAAGCCTTTAAATTTTATTATAAAAGTGTGCCTGCCACAGCTAAGCAACCATGTACTATGAATGCTTATGTTCTACAATGAACTCTTCCAAAAGCATGATGAATTGTGTTCCTATATATGCAAAAGCATGGAATCAAAAGAATACGTGGATTATGCAAAAAATTCGCATTCAGATGAACAACATATTGAGCGCTGTCTGTATACATCACAACCGGTCTCAAATCCAGGGAACTTTCATTCTAAAGTACTACAAAATAAATTTATTGGACAAGAACATTTTAATTTCTCATTAAGCACTTCATTTGGTCTGATATTCTTTTACGAGTGTTTAAAATTTTTGTATTTGTTTTGCGACGCTAGCACATTGTGAGAATCGTCTGCGAGACTATTTGCGCAGTCGCAGAGTGTTACCATGGTTACCAGTTTTTTCTGTATCGTTGTTATTGTTACAATATAAAAAAAGTTGTTGTTCTAAAAAAAAAGTTTTAAAGATTGAAGTTGTGTTTAATTGCTTATTCGGACTACATTTTTTATATATTGGTGCATCGTTCTGAGAAACTGTATGAACCACCTGGTGTAAAATATCTCGTTTCGTAAATCGTTGGAACACTTCGAAGGTGGGGTAGGTAATAGTATTTAGTTAGAGAATTTTTTGATAATAGTCTGTTTGAGTTTCGAAGAATTTAAGTGAAATTGCATTGTGTAGTAGTAGTTTGTTTACGGTTTCGTTCGGCAGAATAGAATTGTTTTGTTGTAGTATTGTTATTATAATGGCTAAAGAGTTAGATAGACTTGAGAAGCAACGTACCTACCATAGAAGACAGGTAACTAAATTAATATAAAAACTAGAAAATCGTATGTCTGAACCACATATATAAGTAGATGAATTAGAAAGCCTTTTAGTTCAGTTACAAATCAAAGACGAACAGAAGTCCTTTGTTAATAAAATCGGAGATCTTTTAAATGATGCAGAAATGCAATAGGAAATAGAGAGTATTGACGAATGTAATGAAGTAATTATATTTAACTCGGTAAAACTAAAAAATAAAATAGTTGCAATCCTCATCTGTAGAAGAACCCGCATGTGTGCAACCCATAACAAACCAAAGTAGACCAAATACAAATGCGAAGTTACCTAAACTGATTATTCATACGTATTACGGGGACCCATCTGAGTATTTAAATTTCTGGAATCAATTCGAAAAGTCTATTGACAAAAATCCTTCCCTTTCAGACGTCGAAAAATTTTCTTATTTGTTTAGTTGCCTTGGAAGTGAAGCTCTTTCTTGTATTAAAGGTTTCGCTATTACCTCAGACAACTGTAAGTCGGCTCTTAAATTAATCCAGATACCTTTGGCTAGAAAGATGTGTTAATCAATGCCCATATGTCTAAGCTGTTGAATATGACACCGTTAAAGAACATTTCGAATTTACAAGAGTTGAGAAACCTGTATTTTAAGTGCCAAACCCAAATTCGTTCTCTTAAGAGTTTAGGTAAAAAAGCAGAAAATTATAGCGTAATATTTTGCGCTGTAATTTTGAAACTTTTTCCCAGCGACCTTTTTTTGAAATTTAGCAAAAATCAAATTTCGAGCACTAATCATAATTTGAAGGAGTTGATGGATTTTTTACATCGTTCCAAGAGAGAGAACATTTCATATACACTCTCCTTCTTCGTACGAAACATGTAACCAGTATAAACAATTTAACCATAGAAATTTTGGAGCCCCTAATCGCATTAAATTTCGTTACTCTGCTGATGAATTCCTGACCTGTGCTACTTCAGATACTTGTATATTTTGCATTCAGCAGCATATGAGTCATTTGTGTAAAAATTTGAACTGTCAAAAAAAGAGAGAAGCTTTTACGAGAAATCGTGTTATAATATAAATTGCTGTGTAAAGGGGCAAACTGCTCCTTTTGCAACGGTAAAAACGCCCGCGCAATATGCTTTAAATTAGAAAATTCTAAAAATCAAAGGATTGAACGTGGTTCGGAAGTAAAATCTAATGAAACATGAATTATATGCTGAATAACAGAAGGGGAATTTTGTTGCAATGTGTAAAGGTAGAAATTATTTGAAAAGAGTCATCAGATTTTATTTTTTGTTTATCTGATAATGGATCTGAGCGAACATTTGTAAAGAAAGAAGTTTCTGAAAGGTTGGGATTAAAGTTTGCTGGTTCAGAAAAATTTAATATTTATAGCTTTGGCGCAAAGACTCCAAAAGGGCAGATTTGCCGAAGGGTGGAACTGCAGTTGAGAAATATTTTGAATGGAAATGAAGTCCTTATTGAAGCATTAGAAATTGATGAAATATCGAAAGCTGCAATAAATGTTCCAGATCGAGTTACTTGTGCAGAAATGAAGTCCAGAGGATTTCCCTTAACATTTGATTTTAAGGAGTTATCTAACAATTGTGAAATTTCATTGTTGATAGGAGCAGATTATTACTGCAATTTGATAAAGAGATTTTGAGCGGTTGAACACGTCATTAGTAGCTATAGAAACTGCCTTTGGATGGTAACTCCAAGGAAAATATGATGATTTAAGTAATTCCACGTCGATTAATTTCGTTCTCAATAAAAGAGATTTGGTCTCCGCTGAGCTAAGGAGCTTTTGGGAATTGGAGAGTTTGAGGGTTAGAAGTGACGAAACAGGTATTTCCGGTGTCGAAGAAAGGGAAGTTCTGAATGAGTTTAACGAATCGATTCAGTTTATAAATACCAGGTACTGTGTAAAGTTCCCGTGGGTAGCAGGTATGCGGGAGAAATTGGGAAATAATAGGGAGGTCACACTGAAATGTTTTAATAGTTTAGTTAGGAAGTTCAAGAGAGTTCTGTCGTTATATAAGCAATATCGGGAGATTGTTGATAGTTATCTTAAAGAAGGAATAGTTGAAATATCTTCTCATTTGTTAGGGGATGAATTATTCTTTTACTTACCCCATCATTCAAAAAGTTATTCAAGTCAGCAGCCGTCTGCGAATTGTATTTGATGGTGCAACTCATGGAGAAGAACTTTCACTAAATGACTGTCTCCACACTAGTGCGAACTTGTACCCTAATTTATTTGAACTGCTATTAAAAATTAGACAAAATTCTATAGCTTATACATCGGACATACAGCAAGCCTTCCTGCAAATTTAAATCGACCCAGAAGATCGTCAGTATACTAAATTTTTCTGGAATTATGATCTAAGTTCAAGCGAATTTATTGTACTGAATTTTACTCGAGTTCTGTTTGGACTTACATCAAGTCCTTACCTACTGGCAGCTACACCGAAATTTCATTTTGAAAATTATCGAAACTTGTATCCAGAAACCTGTGAATTGCTACTAAATTCCTTCTAAGCTGATGATTTTGTTGCTGGAGCTGACGAAGTAGAGACTGCTCTGAAAACCATTCTCGAAAGCAGGAAATGGCAGACTAATTCTGTGGAACTTCGCAACCTATGGAAGAAAGATGGTATAGAAGCTATTACTACCGAAGAAGCCATCACTGGATATAGTACGCCGTCGAAAGTTCTAGGAGTGGCCTAAAATACAGACAAGGACGTGATTTTTTTCGACATTAAAATTTGATGAATATTCTTTCCAACAGATCCAGTACAAAGCGCTTCGTCTTGCAAATATTAGATCGTATCTTTAACCCATTTGGATTCATCGGACTTTCATCGTTCGACTTAAGCTACTACTTCAAGAGCTATGGACAGCTGGCGTGGTCTGGGATGATGGACTTCCCTCTTCACTGGACTAGAAGTGGCAGTTGTGGTGCAGCGAAGTTGAACATTTGAATAACATCGCAGTTCCTAGATATTATCTTTCTGAATTCAATTTATGCGATTTTGTTTAATTTAATATTCATTCTTTTTCAGATGCATCTATGGCGGCATACGGGACAGTGGTATATTTAAGAGCGGTCGCTCGAGGCGCTAGAGTTATTACTAATTTTATACGTTCTAAGAATAGAGTCGCCCCTTACAAATCTATCATACTCCCACGTTTGGAACTGTTAGCGTGTTTTTTATCTTCTAGGCTTGCTAAACAATTAAGTAAATGTTTGAAATTTGATGTAAATTGCTACTTCTGGGCTGATTCCAAAATATGTCTGTTTTGGGTAAAGGGTAAGGCTTTTAAATACAAATCCTTTGTTAAGAACAGAGTAGGAGAAATTCAAAATTTGACCGATCCTAACAAATGGTATCTTTGCCCTGGAAAGGAAAATCCCGCGGATATCCTTTCTAATGGTATTCTAGCCTCGAACTTGGCTGGAGATGCTTTGTGGTGGCATGGACCACCTTGGTTTGGTCAACCTTATGAGTTTTGGCCTTATAAGATTAAAATTGAGAATCTTACTGAGGATTTAGAATTGAGAAAGGAATTTGAAACTATAACACAAAATAAATGTGCATTCGGGAATTCTCAATTTATTTTAGATTTGAATAACTGTAGTAACCTAACTAAGCTACTGAAATTTACGGTATTAATTAAAAGATTATTTGGTAAACTTAGAAAAGAATACTTAAAAATGGGACCTTACACTGCAGTTGAACTCTTAAAGGCAAAACAGGACTAGATAAAGTATGAACAAGGACTTGTGTACTCTTCTGAATTAGAATGCCTCAAATATGGTACCCAAATTTTTAAGCAATCGTCTCTTTATAAGCTAGCCGCATTTTTAGATGAAAACGGTACTTGCACGTAAGAAGTAGGCTTGAGCAAAGTGTTTTTGCCAGTGATGAAAGCAATCCAGTTACATTACCCAAACAGTCATTCACTAAGTTATTAATTTTAAGGGAACATAACAAAATTTACCATGGTGGAGTATCTGCGACTCTTGCTAAAATTAGAAATAGGTTTTGGATTCCAAAGGTTAGACAAGTTGTAAAAAAGGTTTTAAAGAATTGTCTGATTTGCAGCAGGTATTCTGTAAAATTTGCTAAACATATAACAGCTCAATTGCCAAAGGATCGAGTATTGGGAAATCCTCCATTTATTGTATCTGGAGTTGATTTTACAGGTCCAGTCTTTCTTCGTTCCAGAAAGGACACTCAACAAAGATCATACATGGCCTTATTCACATGTGGAGTTACTAGAGCACTTCCGATCGAATTAATTACTGATATGTCGACGAAAAGTTTTATTTTGTCCTTAAGACGTTTTTTGTCAAGAAGGGAGAATTGTAATTTCTGATAATGCTAAGAGTTTTAAGACCACAGACAACATTTTGAAAGGTTTCGCCTAAATTTTGGTTGATTCGAACTTAAAACATTTCGTTGCTCTACATGAAATAACATGGCAGTTTATTGTCTCCCATGCCCCATGGTGGGGTGGTTTCTATGAGAGACTCATGAGAAACATAAAGGACCCTTTAAGGAAAGGCTTGCCTTAGCTTCGAGGAAATGACGACCATTCTAGCGGAAATCGAATTGGTATTCATAAACTCCTTACTTACGTAAGCAATGAATTAAATGAACCCAAATCTCTTACTCCAGCCCATGTTTTGTATCCTAGTCAAGAGAATGTTAGTTATCTTATATATTTTGTTGAAATTTTCGGCAGTCAAGCTTCTACAAAGAAAAACTCTGATTCGTCGAAAATTATATCAGACTAAACTTTTATGTCAACTATGGATGAAATGGAAAGATAATTATTTGATGCAATTGAGAAATGCACATAATTTTTTAAATCCATCACCAGGAAAGGATCTTAAAAGAGGAGATGCAGATTTGCTTGAAAAGGCCGCTAAATCAAAATTTCTTTGGCCACTTGGTATTGCTGGTCGTGATGGACACGTACGTTCGTGTGTTATTCGAACTGACAAGGGACAACATAAAAGACCAATCCAGTTCATTTATTCACTTGAAATAACCTGACATTTCTCCTTTAATATTGTCTTATGCATAACAAATTTCATTAAGTACAGTGTATGATCATGTAGTACTATTGGTATTATTATAATTGTATTTGTGTTATACCTATTAATTTATGTTGTATTTGATCTCTTCTTAATATATTAAATATTAATTTAAAGTTAATCTATTAAATATTAATGTTAATTAAATATTAAATGTTAATCTATTAAATATTAATTTAATGTACTCTTAACAGAGTACAGGTGGGGTGTGTTTAAAATTTTTGTATTTGTTCTGCGACGCTAGCACATCGTCTGCGAGACTATCTGAGCAGTCGCAAAGTGTTACCATGGTTACCAGTTTTTTCTTTACCATTGTTATTGTTACAATATTAAAAAAATGGTTGTTCTAAAAAAATGTGTTCTAAAAGTTGTGTTAAATTGCTTATTCGGACTACATTTTTTATATAACGAGCAATGTTAATCATTTGTACTTAATTTGAAATCTTAAATGATTTCATGTTCATCGAATTTTTTTGAATGGAAAGTCCATTAAAAATATTAAAATTTTCTATTACCATAAAAAATTGGAAAAAGAACAATTATTCCCACGCCAAAACAGATAAAGAAATTTACTAGCAACAGAAACAGTCACAAATGAATAACCATTTTAGCACCAGTAGGTTTTACAAAAATGTGATTATGTAAACAAAATCGAAATAAGCAGTTTCTTTTCAATTGCAGTCAGTGGATTTCTAAAAACCCTTTTGCCGTCATTACTTTACAGATGCATATACCAGTTTACAACAATAGACTTATGCAAATGAAGAAAGTATTTTCTTACGTAATACAATAATTCTAGTTGCATTGCTGTTTGCCACTTACTTACGTGTGATGAGGTACTTATTTAGGTTCAAGTAATGGGTTGCTCAATTTTGGAAGAAATAATTATTTGCTCTTATTTCATTAACAAAAGATGCTACATTCACAGGAAACATCTTGTCTAGTAGGTGGCTTGGGTGCACGTGGACAAGCAAACGCTACTGACAATACACACTCACGTGATAACCCGGAATAAAAGAGTCTCCGTGTCCCATCACAATTTCAGAACCTGGCTGCTTCATTTAAAGAACGTTCAGCAAGAAGATAGCGGTTACTACATGTGCCAAGTGAATACTCAACCAATGATAAGCCAAGTTGGATACTTAGAAATAGTTGGTAAATATGTCTTGTTACAATATTATTTCTTGTATATTGCTTAAGTTACAGGATGGCGCAAGAAAATCTGGCCCAGTGAGTGCGCAGATAGATGATAGAGCCTTCATTTTTGCGACTATTGTAGATTGTTCTTCCTGGCAATATAAAACCCATGAAGACGTATAAATCATATCAGTGAGATGCCTTTATGCTGAAAATGGATATTTCGAAATTTTAGTTACACAAATATGAAAAATGGAAAATTTGGATGTTTCAGAGAGAAGAGCCGAGTATCAAATATTTAGTTAATTTCTTGTTTAAAATTGCTTATAATTTTTATTAATTTTAATAATATAATATTTAATTTTAAATTTAAAATAAGGCTAACAAAAGTCGCTAATTTAATTTTTCCTTACGTATAAGTTATGAGTGCTATATAGCCCAACTAGTTAGAAGTTACGGGCAAAAACATATCAAAGAACTTAAAAGAACTTTAAAATAACATATCAAAGTGTTAACTATAATAAACACGTGGAATCGGCTATGTAAAGTTACTGTTGTCAATGCCGATTCTTGCTGCACATTTTTAGTTTCTTTAATATAACAATTCGTGTATTTTATGATTTTAGGGATCCACAGTTTTTCTCATAATTACATTTTTCATTCGTAGAAACGCTCATAGAAAATTCTAAAAGGCTCCAGAAGAACATTATGCATAGAACCACATTATTTTTTGTAAAGTCATGTACGCGAGCAGTAATCTTTGCTGTGAGATTCAATCTTCTTAAAACTAAATTAGTTTGAAAATTAAATTAACCTTTGTGCGTATTTTTAAAACTGCATGTCTAATAATTTATTAATTCTGTTTCTTTATCTTTCATTAAAATCTCTGGTAAATGCTTTCATGTTTCCTCCTTGTTTATTTTTAAAAAGTCACATAGCATATTATTGTATATATTTGCATACTAAAAAATCTGCCCATAAAAACTGTCAGGGAAAATGACAGAAAATTTAAACAATCGATCATGCATAGGAAATAAAATTCAAAATAGATTCACTATGAATAATTGTTCTTATATTATTATAAAATATGTATCCTCTACCCAAGACTGTTAGTTTACTTCTTCACAGCCTAATAATAGTAACACGCCTAATTATAGTAATATCATAGCCTAATAATATAACAGATTAATATAACAGCCTAATAATATAATAATATAACTAATAATATAACAGCCTAATAATATAACAGATAAGTACTAATAAAAGTTAGCTACCTACGAGGAATGTTTCTAAAGTTCTGGGAGTATTATTAAGTTTATTACAATTTTATATTGATGTTTCATTTATATTCTTAGAGATACAGGTAACATTCTAAGTATTGTAAAGAGGTGGTCGACAAAGTGTTTGTGTATTATTATTTCTTCATTACATTATACTCTAGGATCCATCCTTTCTTCCCCGCACAACATCTATGTGTATGCGTGTCATAATAAGCTGCAGGGTATTGCTATCAGTGGTAAGCAAGTTTTAAGGGGATAGCAAGTATGCTAAATTTGAACTCTTTGTTAAATTTCTAATTTTTAAGTCCCGTATTCTTTTTGCTTGCTTGTTTATCTAATATTTTTATTTGTAACAGTGTTTCTCTTCCTGAAAATTAGGTTTTTGTCTAGTTTTGTTTAAATTTGGTTTAGCGCACTGTAGGTAATTTAAAATTTAAGCAGATGCTAGAAAGTACCATCCCTTGGCAATGCATTTATCATTAGATATCAAATTGTTAAACAAGCTGATGCGATTAAATGCCATTGTTTAATTTTCCAATTAAAAACCTGAAATACAAATATATGCAATGAGATACAGTACTATCAAATCAAATCAATAATATATATATAATCAAAGTCATGATTTTCAACCATCAAATGATATATATACGCGTGTGTGTTTGTGATAGATTCTGTAATCGAATGCAGGCGGTTGAATCCGTATTGAACAGAAAGAAATTTGATGGCTTAAAGATGTTGAAACTCCAGTCTACAATGAATAAGTAATTTGGCAGTCGAGGTGGATTTAATTCAACTTTTTATTTCAGCAAATATGTTGCAGCCACAAACAAGTTGGTACATTATTTATGCCTATTCCAAAAATTTACATTTTTGATAAATTTGTAGTAAGAAAGAAGGAGCAGACAGACTGCAGTCCAGCTAGGCCAAAGCGTAGAAAGCAATTGCGTTATGTTGAGAGTGAAATCCTAATTCAGATTGAGTTAGTTTTGGTTTTCAATGCATTTTGATTTGATAATTAATACTGCTGCAAAATTACTATTGGCTGTTTGAGTTTTAGTTCCATTTACAACATTAGAATTTTGTAAGAGTCATGTGACATGGATTAATCTCGAAACGAAGCAGTGCAAAGAGATTACTATTTTGAGAATAGATACAGAACATTAATTTTACTCTGCTAATTTAATCATTTAAATAATCTTTATTTTTTCTTACATATATATATGTACATATATCATTCGATGGTTATGAATCATGACTTTGATTATTATCTTTCTATTAATTTTATTTTCAAAATTGTATAAATGGAGTTTAAAATTTTGCAAACAGAATTTATACAAATATTTTGTAATATGTTTATAGGTGCTGACATGCATTGAGAAGGACAGGGGCTTGTAGGATTCTAGATATTTTAAAATTTTATTAAGTTTATTCTCATTGAATTTCATTTAAAATTACATGCTTTCTCTGCCATTTAATTCTGTACACTTCATCAGTGCTAATTATGTACTTCTGCTGGTTTATGATTTTAATTATTAGCTTTTATGGAAATTTGATCTACAGTTCTATTTTTGTGTATTTTATTTTTATTTTTTTATAGGGATTTCGTATATGGATACCCGTTCTATGCATGATTCTATGTATGGATACTCCGCTACGGTATAATTCTATTGGTTTTGTTTATGGGCTTTTGTCTACTGTTTAGCCTATGGATACCTATATAGGTGTACAGGTTTTTGTCTACTGGTTTTTATGAGGAACAGACCTACGGAATATCCATTTTTTTATGGAGATTTGACCTATGGATACGCATAAAGTTCTGATTTCTAGCTACGGGTTTTTACTGGTATTTCGTTTATGGTGCCCGTACAGTTCTGAAGGTTTCTATGGGTTTTTATGGAGATTCGGCCTACTCATATCCGTACAGTTTTACGGGTTTCTGTTTAATGGTTTTTACGGGGATTTGGTCTACGGGTACCCGTACAGCTGGTGAGGGTTTCTTTCTATGAGTTTTTAGGGGGGATTGGACAACAGGTACCTGTACAGCTGTACGGGTTTCTTTCTTTGGGATTTTACGGGGATTTGGCGTACGGATGCCCGTACAGTCGTATGGGTTTCCGTCTGTGGGTTTTTACGGGGACCTGTAGGCCAATTCCCCATAAAAACATTTTATGGGTTTCTGCGGAGCATGTTTAGCAGGGATAACATATTATTGTATATATTTGCATACTGAAAAATCTGTCCATAACATCTGCCAGGGAAAACGACAGAAAATTTAAACAACCGATCATGTAAAAGAATATAAAATTCAAAATAGATTTAGTATGAATATTTGTTCTTATATTGTTATAAAATATGTATTTTCTACCCCAGACTGCCAATTTACTTCTTCATAGTCTAATAATAGTGACACGCCTAATTATAGTAATTTCACAACCTAATAATATAACAAATTAAAGTACTAATAAAAGTTAGCTCTCTAACGACGAATGTTTCTAAAGTTCTGGGAATGTGGATATAATTTTTTATGTCGTTAATTGCCATCAATACTTCACTGCAGTTTCTCAACACAATTCCCATTTAATTGAATGCACTTATCCTAACGAAAACTATTTTTTAAACTCCCCTCCAAAACGATTTTGGTGTTTCCTCAATCCACCTACTTATGGAATGGTTAAACTCTGAAATAGAACACCCGTTTTTTTTAATGCGGGAACTGAACAGATTTGCGAGCAGAAATATGGGAGCAGCATACTCCTCGCTGATGTGCGTATCATAAATAATCAGCAAATTTTGTAGGTACAGCAATACAAAATTTAGATAAAATCAAAAATAATTTCAGCTACAAGCTAAATTGAAGAAATAAATTGCTCCTAAGAAAGCAATAATAAATTATTTTGTTGTTTATATAATAATAAATTATATTATATAAACATTGTAACATAACTACTTTTTCAGGAGTTATTTACGCCCGGTAACAATCTCTGACTAATTTCACTCAGAATAAAAGCTACACAGATAAATAATTAAACATTTATTATTTTAGATTTCTTTAAGTCAATGGGCACACAGACATTCACTACTAAACTTGATCTTGATCAATCATTATCGTCCAGCCATATCAAATTATCCTTGGTTATTATGCAACACATTCTTTAAAAGCCATTCGCAGTTTCTCTTTTTCTTCATCTATTTTGCGTCATCTGCTACAGTAAGTGTTTTTGCATTTGAAATCGGAAAGGACAGAGTAGAATCAGTAGCAGTTGATTCATAAATCATAATAATCATAAGGAAGATATTTTTTTTAAAGAGGAAGAAATATTTTATTCGGTTCCCATTCTCAGTTTCATTCGTTATTTAAGTAGAACTCTTCTTGGTATTGGATAGTCGAAAATGAGCAAATTGATTAGGCGTTTTCTTGTTACTCAACTTCTCTGACCTGACCTCTCTCTGGTATTTTTCTTTTGGAATTCAGCAGACATATAATTTATAAATCACTCCAATCCATCACATAACCAGAATTTTAACAAAGAACTGTAATAAGACGTTCCAAAACAACTCCGCAGCTGAAACGAATAGGGTCTGAAATTGACTATCAGTGTGATATATATCGACTTGAGAAATGTTTGTACGGAAATCTATCATAAGTTTTCATATTTTCTTTATTAATGATGTGCGAAATTTTTCTCCATTATTTGAAGCAAGTCAAACCTACTTCTTCTTTTTGAAACTCTAGTTATA